AATAACTCGTATCCACATTTGGCCGTGCGCCATCCTCACACCCACTGCGAGACGTTGTGGATTATACAGAATTTGGAATTTTCTAATTTCATTTCCGAACATGGGTTTTTTGTGCAGTCGCACTGTAACTAGAGGCTATTAGTGAATGATCAATCATATTATTGGAGCTGATCAGCCAAGCCACACCTCCTTAAGCCACTTTGGCAGTCATTGCTCCAAGTCTGAAGCATGGGAGCACTGCCAACGGGCAGGAAATCCATCCGTCAAAGCTGGGAATGACTTTCTTTTCAACTCGGTTCATGCATTACATTCCCATTGCATCCATCATGTTTTAATTGGCTTGGGACATTAACTATTATGTACAATAATGCTTGATACATCGAGCTCACCGACTGCTGCTGCCAATGCACCTCTTCATACTCCTAATGCGAATGGATTTCCCCTCCCCCCATTATTATAATTTGCCCCTCTCACCATGGCTCATCACCCACACTGATTTATTGTACTGTGCATGCAGGAAGAGGCTGCTCGTTGTGTTCCTTCTTCAGAGATCCGTGAAGTCACGAGCTATCCCGTGCCACGAGTGAGATTAGAACTGCTGGGAATTTCCCACACTCCCCGCTTCCTCCCGCACCACAACAATATCTGCAGCGCATTGATAATACCACACAGCCGGGAACGCGCTTAAATACGCAGAAAGCACATTTAGAATTTTACAGAAATAATCATTGCCATTTTTTCAGTCCGTATGAAAGCAAAGCAGAATGGTGGTGTAATTTTGCACCGTTTTGTGCTACTTTATTAAACAGTTAAGTAGTGTGCCTTGGTATAGCAAGGATGCAAACCCACAATACAGCACTTGTGCAGTCTTTTTAACAGCAGTGCAAATAACCCAATGGTTCACGGTGCGCGGTACGGGACACAGCACACTATAGCCGTGCAGCACGCAAGCCACACTTTTTAAGGGGGGTTCAAACCCGTCTCCGGCGAAAAAGACAAGAGGCCAATGGCCCACACTCAACGTGAAGTATCTCTGCAAGGAAGAACACGTAGGAAACGCGTGCGCCTGGTTCCACAGGATTTCCATCAAGCGAGAATCGTGAATTTTTTTTTGCCTTGTTTAAACCTGTACCGTGCTTATATGTAGTTGGTGTCGTTCGAGTCCTTGGCCCTGGGCTACTGGCGCAACGAGACAAACTCACGGCTGCGCGTGTAGGTTCACACCACGCCCGACTTCAGTCATATATGGCTGTGCTTTGAGTGACGCTTCACCAGCTGCTTCTTTCATGTGTGCAATAGGCAAATAAACAAAACGCATTGTACAAAAAATAAAATACACGACAATGTGACTATGCACAAATACACAGTTTAGTGTACGTCCTACATCTACAGCAAGTTCAGATGACAATTCAGATGGGAGACATCAACAGAGTACAGCACGTAAAACGTGACACGTCCTTTAAAAGGTGATGTAAAAGCTACTTGGCTACTACCAGCTCAGAACCAAGCTAGGCTTTAAATAAACATCAGCAGGAGTGCAAGGCTCATATAACGCGATTACGTGTTCATAAATTAACTTCATCAGCAGCAGTAGCGGCGGCGACTTTGCCTGCCATACTGCACCACGAACAATGACTACGCGAACAAATACTAAATGCTCACAGCTATAACGAGTACAACGACCAAACTACAGCTCCACGTGTGTGTGGAGCTGGGGTCAGAGCACTGGCTCGGACATATTCTACAAAAAAACAATTCACATACACCACAAGTGTGTCCAGCTGCAAATGTAGGCACATCTTTCCGTGTGTACTCTTCTCTCTGTATTTATATAAGTTGAAAAACCCACAAATCAGGTCACACTCGCAGTGCTGACTGCAACAGTGTGTGGCACCTGCTCACCCCGGCACTGGGCAATCCAATACATGGGTTAGAGCAGAAATAATAACACAGGAGAGCATTAAATATTAAATTAACATACAGGCACTCCTCTACTTGCGAACATTCGACTTACGAACTTTTAGAGATACGAACAAACCTGTCCGTATGTCCAGTTGTCTGTTCGGACCGAGAGTCATAAGTTTAACTACCGCACAATAGATGGCGGTGGTGGCATCTACATCCACGGAGCATGAAGAACCAGTGGCATCTACATCTACATGAGATTATACAACTTTTAAAGCCATTCCCCGTGTTTAGTGTACATGCCGTATGTTTGGAATCGACAGGAGTAAAGTTGGACTCACAAATAGACTTAACAGACCACTGTAACCTAACTCATTCGTAAATAGAGGAGTCCCGGTTATTATAATTCATAGCCACCTGTCAATCCAATGCTGGATGAAGGCTTTCCCATCCTGTCTCTATTGGTGAAGTATGGGGCACCCAGAACTGGTTCCAATAACACTCACCAATGCTGTTAGCAATGGTCAAAAATTCAACTTAGGTCGCCAGGTTCACAGGACAGCACACGAACCACTGCGTTACCGTTCCACCCTGGTAAAACCTGAGTGGTTATCAATTTATAAGGTCAATAAAAGTAAAATGTGATCAATGTTTCAAATGAATAGGCCATCAGTATATTCTTGGTTCTTTCGGTAAAGTCACGTAGAAGGGAAATATTAAAAAAATTAAAATAAAACATAATAAAATAAAATTCTCACGACGTTTCAGCCACAACACAAGTAGCTGTTCTTCACCTGAGGACGGTTACTTGTGTTGTGGCCGAAACGTCGTGAGAATTTTATTTTATTATGTTTTATTTTTATTATTTTATTATTTCCCTTCTACGTGACTTTACCGAAAGAACCAAGAAGATGAATCCCTGCAGTCACGAAAGCTTTAAATCGAAATTTAGGCCATCAGTAGTATCATTGCTTTTTTTTGTATTACAAAACATCCCGCTACATTTAATCGGTTCTGGTGGTGCTGGCGATTGAGATATCTGCTCAAAGCCCATGAGACGTGGAAGGCGACCGCAGAGGCAGAGGTCGGCGCTTACAAAATGTGACAGTGAAATCAAAGTGAGAAGTGCCCTCGACCAAGAACCAACGTGACCGCATGGCTGCGCCACCTGCATACGTTCACAAACCGATCCCACCAGAGTCTGCAGATTTATGACGGCCTCTGGTGGTGGTGGTAGCGATGTTCACACGCGTATTTTGGGCGTGCGCCGCTCAGGCTGAGGCAAAGAGCCGACCAATTTTTGTTCAATGTCAACTGCACTTCTGGTTACAGAAGTCTAGCAAGTGCCACCCGCTCTTGCGTTAACTCTGAACACATTTTTATTTTCATCGCCTGTCTCAAAAGACACAGGGCAAACTACGCCTCACGGTCTCATCATGGCGTTTATGACTCAACCAAACAAGATCACCTATCCAGACTGAGAACTGCCATGTGTGGATAACCTTATGTAAATAACATTTAACATTAGTGTAAGCAATCGTCATCATAAGCAATTCATAAATGTCCACATTTCAGAGGGCTGTGGACAATAATTTTCTTGTGTCATTCAATGAGTATACAGTAAGCTGTGAATATCTGGATTGTTTCAAGATTGCACCATTAATAAAGGGCTGGGTGCTTGAAGCAGTGTAAACCAGTACCCTGTCATATCGCTGGGCGAAATTAAACACGCCTGTAATGCTGCCAACTATTTAAACTCGAAACTATTATATTCACCAGGGAAAGCCCACTGGGTTAGCTCGTTTTCAGAAGTGGCTTATCATGTTGATATTTATAGCAGCCAAATAATCTATGCAGAGCAGCAAGGTACTTACACTGCACGTAACAAGTACATGGGTGTGGGTACATCACGGGCAGGTACAGTTATTTCTGCTCAAACATTTGACGGCGGGGAATGCTGTAAAGCTGTACCCTGCTCAAATAATCACCTTCCTGGGCTCCTTGGCTACTCGCAGGTTCCCATGGCTACCTGCCCTCTCAACTTCAAAAAATGTTTATCACATGCCTGCTTGCAGATAACAGAAGCAAACATGTTTCTGACACGGTATTTTGAAGTAAGTGTACATTGCAGTTGTAAAGTTGTACGTTGTAAAGAATCACAAGTTAAAAAAGGGAGTGTTACAGATGTATTGAGGTTATTCTACACATAGTACTTGTATTATTATTTATAATCCTCCGAGATAAAAAAAAAGCACACGGCTTCAAATCTCCAGCACCCTGCTTGCATGCACAGCACCTACAGTTGGCGATCACGGGATTTTATTGCAGTAGCGTGGACGGTCAGCTCAACCGAGATTGAAGCCAGGGCGATTTTAATCGCAGGGAGCACGTACGCACGGCCCACCCGCCAGAGGGCTTAACGCGCCCTCACGTACGGCTCTACGGCCAGTCATGCGATAGATATTCCTTTCATAACTACCGTCAACAAAGACCGCCCTTTTAAGTACGCTAATAAAGGTGGAGGGTTTCAACGTGGGTTTATAGCGCTCTGAAGGCGCTCTTGTAATATGTGCAAGTATGTAAGGCAGGGCAAGCAACAGTGGTTGTTGGATTTCTGCTAGTGCACAATACGGTTTAGGACCCACAACCCTCGCAAGACCGCATGCCAATTCTCATATCGTTTCTTATTACTTTTGAAACACGTTTTTTCCCCACCGATATACAAATACAACACACGACAATAAAATCACTAAGTGGTCAGTGTCTACCTTTGGTCAGCCAGCTGTCAAACGACAGTAGCCAGTAATCATTATAAAAAGGTACAGAAACCTGCACTCAACATTTTCTAAGTTTGCGAATTCGCAATGGCTACACATTGGCGTTAGGACTTAGAAGTATGGTGCATATATGTGTATATACATATACACACGAGGACAGCTTCAAATATTTTATGCGACACTTCAAAAGTCTCAGCCCTGGCATGTAAATATATACATTTACACAAATATTGATATATTAATCACAAATAATGTACTCACGTACATACAACACGTAAGTCAAACGTCTAATTGGTTGGCGCGACCTTTTGTGTATAATACAGAAAGCTTTTAACTTAAGGGTGTAATGATTCATTCCCCCGGTGATTCGACAAATGGTCCAATGCAAGGTGGTGATTTGATTCAAGAAAATATTTTTGCTTGTTACTTTGTGAATGGAGGGGCCTCCAGTGGTTGCAGGAGTCACGTGAAATCTTTACATATAGGAATCCAAAATCACCACTTCTTTGAGACACAAATTAACGCACGATTCGGATTTTTACAGAATCGTTACACCTCTAATTTGTATCCGTGTCCTGTATGCGTGCGTGTATACGTGTGTTCACATATGCAGTACACACATATCATATCTCTCCTGCACATGTAATATGTAAAGCTACAAACTCAAGCCCTCACCTCAACCCCTAAGTCACCGTTAGTGCATCTTCTTGGCTGGTGGTGACGAATATTGCCATTTCTTCTCTCCGTATAGAATTGATGCTGCTGCTAGTTGCCACAGGAAAACTTCTGTATGCGTGGTTGGCCAACCTGTTGCTGAGGCAGGTACAATTCTTGATGTCTTGTCATACGTTGAATTAAAATGTGTAGGTATTCTCACACGAGTCAATAATACAAACAATATCACAGGTGGTTGTATTCAGAGGTGCACCCCCCAATCCATAGGTGAACAGCGGACTTGGAACAATTTACTCCTATATTTTGATGATTTTTCACAAATTGGCATCACGATTGGATTCACAAATATTCTTTTTTTTGCCATTGTGGTGCACGTAGAAATTTCAGTGGCCGCAAAGGTGTCGACGAAACTCCAGTTTCTAAAAATCAATCACATACGAACCGTATATAATCCATTCTTACAATGCACAAACCGTGCGCATAAGGATCGAGCTTAACTCACGATTTGTTACAAACCCAATCGAGCATTCGATGCTCCCAGTGCTGGACCCTGCAGTGCTGCCACCACCACCACCGTACCGTTGTCATCAGCGCAGCCAAAGTGGCTCGTCCAGCCGACGCACGCGCACCTTCTGCTTGTAGTGGTACTCCTTGAGGTAATCCTTGAGCACGTGTGGCACCGGCAATGCGTCGATGCCGTCGTAGGTGACGCGGCCGCAGATAGAGGCACGGCACAGGCGCTGCAGGCTGAAGGGGAACGAGCGGTGGAGCGGCGTGGCGAGCAGAGGCTCAAAGAACATGCATGCGCTCGGGTCCTTGTAATGGCGCAGCAACGCCGTGACAGCCGGCGCGTGGAACACACAAGGGTCGTGTGCATCGAAGCTGAAGTTGTGGTTCCACTGCTCGACACGTGCGTGCAGCGAGCGACCGTAGCGCCGGAAGCTTACAGAGAAGAGGTAGTCCTCCTGGGCAGAGTCACGCAGCAGGAAGGTGCCCTCGGGACGGCCCTCGAGCAGGGCTTCCGCCTGGTACCGGTCCATCACGCCCCAGTAGAAGGGGCTCTGTGTGATGTCCAGCAGATCTGGAACCAAGCAGTGGATGTAGTCGATCTGCGTGTGCGCGAGGCGCACCAGCCCGCCCACCGCAGGCCCCGCCGCTGCCCCCATCACTGCCGCCGACTGCTGCAGCTGCTGCTGCACCTGTTGACAGAGAAGCTGGCTGAACATGAGCGCCGAGCTGGACTCCAGCCGGTGTCTCTGGGGCGGCGCGAGCACTGCAAGGGGCAGCTCATCATCCTCGGAGCCGGATTCGGCGCCGGCGCCACTGTGCCCCGCTGGCGGTGTGTTCGGCTGGCTCATGCCAGGTGCCAGCTTGGGGCCAAGTTTGCACAACGGGTTGATCTGTGCCGTTGTCTCAAAGGTGTGAATCTGCGCATCAGGTGGCGGGTCCACGCCCTCCTCTATGCTCATCCTCCTGCGCTCCCGCAGGGCATCCTCCTCATCCTCCGCCACGTCCAGCGTAGCCGTGAGGAACGGCCCGCGCGTCGACCCTACCGATGCTCCCACCGGTGCCGTGTGCTGCTTGATGAGGTGCCATTTGCGTGCCAGTTCCGAGCCTGCTGGGAACGGGCAGTGGTCCAGCATGAGCTCCGACAAGTGAATCTTGCGTTTGCTCGAAAGCTGCCCGACAGACAGCCTGTTGTTGCTACTGTCACAAGCGCCATACGAGGCGTGGTGGCGACGCGCGCCGGTGCCGCACAATGGAAAGCACTGCCCGACGGTGTCTTGCAGGCGGTTACGCAGCGTTCGCGAGCGTGCAGGGGTCTGCTCAAAGCGGTGTTCCGTGCACACGCGCGCCTCTGCGCTCTCCACCTCAGCGTCAGCACTACCATCGCGGCCCTCTTCGCCCACCAGCCTCGGCTGAACATTAAGGTCGTCTGCATCCAAGCAGGCGGCAGCATCGTCACCGGCACACCGCATATCGCTACCACCACAGCCATCACCACCACCACCACCGCTCTGGGAGCGTTTTTTCTTGCTGGCCCAGGGAGCATGGCGGAAGTACGAATCTCTCAATGAGTTAACAGCACCGACTTTGGATTTTGGTTTTGCCCCCGAGCCGCCATCCTGGGGAGAATTTAACCCCACCGTGATCTCTGGCACAATAACAACAATGTCAGAGCCTTCGCCCTCTGCGGCTTTGTCACCGCTATCCGCCACCTCCACGTTCAAGCCCGAGGCGTTCTCCATCGCAGCCATTGTGGGGCTCTCGTGAGCCGGCGATCCTTGCTGTTGCTGGGCAGTGGGAGCTCCCTCCGGATGAGAGGCGGTCGACCCCTCAGCTTCACGACACTCACTAAACCAGCTGTGGCATTTGTACTTCAAGCTGATCCAGGCCTTCTCAACCCTCTCCATTGAAGCACCTATGGAAAAAAGAAGATTAAAGGGTTTTAATCTGTTTTGATGTATTGAAGAGCAACGGATGTAAGCTCTCGGAGCTTAGCTTTAAATGAACTACTCTATTAAAATGTACAAGGTCAAAGGAGCAATTGGAAAATTAATTTCACATGTGACTTTATTTTACTAAGCTCACGCAATCTACAGGTTACAAATTACAAAAACAACATTTTATATTTGTTTTACTCTTATTTTCCATTTCCGATAAGTCATTCTCAGTACACCTAGCTCCTGAATGGCACATTACAAGCACAGAAAAATATTCATACGAGTGTTTAAATTAAATGTGTCAAATGTTCAATACTAATGAGGAACAGCATACCGACAAGCCCCAGCCAGGCTGAACAGCTGCCAGTACCGCATGCTCTGTTGTGTCTATATGTATCGCGTGTAGGTGTGCGACAGTATATTTACATACTCTTTGGTTCTTTCGGTAAAGTCACGTAGGTATTATACCTACGGATCCCTGCAGTCACAAAAACGTCAAATCTAGTATATTTACAGACAGGTGTTTGTGCGTAGGTGTATCTGTGTGTGTCGGTTTATCCCCACTTCAAACCAAACCCGGTCATGGGAGTTTGATTTATAGGCAGGATTAACATGAGTAGTGAGTCAAATCTGAATCTGATTTGGGCTTCCTCTAGGTCGGCACAGCCTCACATGAACACCTTGTGCATCGTGTAAACATCAGAACTAGGTAGACAAAGTTGGTCCGAGCATGGTACTGGCCATACTGGTCTCTCACGAGCCATTTACGAGTTAATAGGTGTTTGTCAACAACAATTACCCCAACAGTCCATCCACGCTATGCAGTGGATATTTGTCATTGCAACGCATTTGTGTGGATGGATCAATGGACCCATATGGTTGTATATTTGTTCGTGTCTATGTGGGGAGCGGTGGCACATGGGTTAGCGCACTGCGTTATAAACCCAGCGATTCGGGTTCGATACTCACTCACGGCCAAGACCAGTGACAATTATCTGAACAGGTCCTGGGCCTCCCCTAGGTCGACTCAACCTCGAATGAATACCTGGCGCAGTGTAAACATCACTACTGGGGAGACAAATGCGGTCGGGCGTAGTGCTGGCCATCCACCCCCTCGTGTACCATGCCGAGTTTCATAAGCGCTTGCTGACAGCACTTGCCCCAAGTCTGTTCAAGTAAAGGGGGATTATTCTTTGTCTTTGTCCGTGTATGCAATTGGGTGGCGGAGCCTGGAAAACCGGCTTGTCAGCCAAGACAAATTCCCACCAAGTTCGAGGTTCAATGTCTGTCACTATCATAGGTACATTCAGCGTGGCATTACCTAAGCCAAGTGTGCTGTACAGCAGGCAGATAACATCCCCGTGGCATTGTGTAAAGAGTATGCCACTGGCAGCGAATAAAACTCAACAACCCACATACACTAATACTTATTCACAATATACGTGAGTCTATACAAACACCTCCACAATTAAAGACTGAGTCCCCTATATCTGTATAAAAATCTACAGCCACCCTGTATTTCCATGAAGATGTCAGAGAAAATACAATCATCAACGTTAGTATTTATTAAGGCCGGCATAGCACAAAAGAGGGTCGTCTGGTCAGCACCAAGCTCAGCCACTTGTCACCCTAGCCATAACACGTTCAAACACCACACCAGACAGTACTTATTTAATGCTAAATCAACCTCGGAGAGGCCCAGCACAAGCCTTGAAAAACACCACTTTTGTTAGCCATGGCCGGGAATGAAACATGTAAACCAATAACACACTCATCCACATACACACCCCTAAGGCACATTATTTCTCACATTTCCACACACACAAAGATCGCATGCAAACAACACTTGCTGTACTATGCACACGTACACAACCGGAGACATCCCTTAACGTCCGAAACCATCCCTACACACAAACCAACACGCACACACCTGCAACATCCTAATAACAGCCGCCATTCGCCACAACATTGGCGGTGACGTTACCACAGCGCTTGTGCCAGGCTAGGTTCAGAGGCCACACGACCCGTGAAAGGTCGCCGACAGGTCATGTGACAGATCCAGGTGTTATGGGCTACATGACTGAGATTTCTGACACCCTCACAGTGTACTGTACTGTAATTTCATTGACGCACAACGCTCTCGACACAACGTTAAACACCATCCCCAGCTTTCTACAGACACCTCCACGCACACCTCTATACACACACATCTTCAGAAGACCCCCGCCACACAGGCCTCTCTATACCACACACCTACACAGCTTAAACAATTGACACAGCCCTCAATAATCATCTTTTACATAAACGTCTCCACATACCTACACACTATTAACACTCCCTGCACATCCACCCGAATATAACTGAAACATGCCCACCTGTCTCTACAATCACACACCACAAACACCTCCACACCAGCGTTAATCTAGTCAGCTTCCACGCACATAAACATGACGATTAACATACACAGAGATCACACATATAACCTGACCAGACTTGGGGCAAGTGCTGTTAGCGAGCACCTATTGAAGGCCGGCACGGCACAGGTGGGTGGGCGGCCAGCAACAATCACGGCAGCCTTTGTCTCCCGAGTGTTCGATGTTTACACACCGCAACAGGTAATCATTTGAGGCCGAGTCGACCTAGGGGAGGCCCAGAACCGGTTCAAATATTCGTAACTGGTTTTTGGTCGTGAGCGAAAATGTAACTCGCTATATACAGAACTCCGGGCCATAGGGTTCGAGGCAGTCGTAACCACGATTCGACTGCTCCCTCGCTCTCTCCATACTTCACCCTTTCCCCTACCCCTCTACACATACAAACATTCCGCTCCACTCACCCAACACGCCATCCCCTCACCCTCACACCTCTCCACACACACAAGACCACCCGAACCCTCTCCACACATCCCCTTAACAGTCTACACACACACACACACCCCCGGCTCCACTCACCAACACACCTCACCACGTCCTCCCCACCGAACCCTCTACACACCCACACGCCTCTCCATACTCACACACACCACCCTAACCCTCCACACACACACACACCACCCTAACCCTCCACACACACACACACACCACCCTAACCCTCCACACACACACACCACCCTAACCCTCCACACACACACACACCACCCTAACCCTCCACACACACACACACACCACCCTAACCCTCCACACACACACACACCACCCTAACCCTCCACACACACACACCACCCTAACCCTCCACACACACACACACACCACCCTAACCCTCCACACACACACACACACCACCCTAACCCTCCACACACACACACACCACCCTAACCCTCCACACACACACACCACCCTAACCCTCCACACACACACACACCACCCTAACCCTCCACACACACACACACACCACCCTAACCCTCCACACACACACACACACCAGTCTCCACACCTCGCCTCGATCATTTCCCAAGCGTCACAAGCGAGGCCAACACCGACAACCGCCTCCTCAAAAACCACCAACTTCACGACGCGATTTACTGCCCCCACCCACCGTCCCCACCGTCATCACAACAAATAAACATCGCCTCGAAACAAGACGGCCGCGCACCCCGAGAGAGCGAGCGAGCGAGCAATGTCCGCCTCTTGACGTTCTTCTCCGCCGCCGCCGCTCAGCTCCCTCGCCCTCCTCCGCTCCACACGGTCCCCGCACACAATGCGCGGGAAACAATGGGCGAGGGGGAGGGTCTCGTGAAGGTGGGGGAGGGGGCGAAGGGGGCGGGGTGGACTGACACGTGATGTCGCGAGATCCAATGGCGCGCGCGAAGACGTCATCCATAGCCCCGCCCGCCCCCCTATCCCCTGGGGACGTACGCGTGACGTAATCGCCGCGAGAAGCTCCTCCCCCCACCTCATCGCCGTCCCCCCCCCCTTAAACCCTTAAACGGAGTCACGTTCATCCGGACTGGCAAGCCTCGCGCTTAGTGACGTCACTCATTAGAATACCAAGGCAATGAATGGGATTGTTTAAAGAGAGACGATAAACCGAGGCGAATATATAAGGAGGCGGCTTGAGAAAAAATATATACGTTGGAAGTTAAACCGAATTGCAATTTGTCACGCAATTTATTTTTTTGTTGTTGTTCTCGCTCTCAATACACACACGCCTCCAAAGTGCGGTGACATCATCAGAATTGCACATCCAGTCAAACGCACAAACGGTTGAAGTGATCCCCACTGGACCCACTCCCGACACACCAATTAGTGACGTAATCCTGCTTGTCAGCATACCCCAACCCAGCGATCAATGAATGACGCCATTCCACCGGGCCAGCCAAATACTCAATGAGTGACGTCACTCACAGTTCCTCCCCCCCCTCCCTCCCCACCACCGCTCAGTGAATGACAGAGCTCCGCCCCCCAAAACGCCCCTCGCCAACAGATGAATGAATGACGTCACCCAACCTTACCTCCACCTGACGTCATCACACTGCAGTACGTTGCTGTACTTCATTACAGTCACGAGTTCTTGACTTAGTTTCCCGCCAATGTGCAAAGGTAATTTCTGAGGGGAACACGGAACACATAATACTATTCCCGTAAATCCTGAGGGAAATTATCAAATTTGATGGTTAAAAAAACAAATATATCTGCGGATAATTTATATTTTCTCCACGCCTAATTTCTAGACTCCTTTTAGAAAGAGGTGCTCATGTTCAGAATATTTATTTGTACTGGAGGAATCCGAATAGGCAATGAACCCAGTATACAAGGACACGATACTTGTCAGCTTGATACCTTAAAACTGATATTAAGATACCAAAATGTAACCATAACGAATGAAGGGCCGTCCATAAATGACGTCACGCAATTTTGGACGATTTTTAACCCCCCCCTTGTCACACGGCGTCATAAAAAGTCAGACCCCCCCTCAAATATGACGTCACAAAGCTCTGCCCTCTCCCCCCCCAAAAAAATCTAAAACATGCTTGAAATCGCTTTAAACTATTGTCATTGTAGTGCGTATTTAATGTGCCGCTGCACTCTGATGTTGTAGGAGAAAACATTTATTAAAAAGTCTATTTAATTAAGTAGAACGTGTTGTCTATATTTATTTAAAGTTGCGCATTTTGATGTGACGTCACATTTCTCACCCCCCCCCCTCCGTCACACATCGTCACAAATGTCTGCCCCCCCCCCCCAGGTGCGTGACGTCATTTATGGACGGCCCCTGAGACAATATCTCAATACCGGTAAAGTAACGAATGAGACAATATCTTAATACCCGTAAAGGAATTGTATGCATATCTCAAATTACAAAAAAAATAATTTAGCCCAAAAGTCTAATAATTTCAGATGAAGAGGAGGTTCCTGATGTAACACTTGAAACCGTTTTTTTATTCAATATTTCACCTGGAAAACCCCCTGAGTTAGAAACATCTCGTTTGCCAGGGTGTTAAAGTTAACTGACCCCACAGTCAACGTGGAACTTTGATCCAACGTTGGAATGCTGACTGAGACTGCCCTAGGTATTAAGAACTTTTTGAAGACTCGGCCAGATGGAATAACTGGACATGTCTGGAAGACAAAAAAACGATGAAAAGCCATTTCATGAAGTGGAAACTGAGTCTTCCAAGCTCTCACAAACCAAGTATTTAATTAATTAATACATATCCTTGTTTCTTTCGGTAAAATCACGTAGAGGGGAAATAATAAAAAAATACAAATAAAGAAAGAACCAATAATATGAATCACTGCAGTCACGAAAGCTTTAAATCGAAATATTAATAAACAAATGATCACTAAAACTAAACATGCGATACACCGAGATTGTATAAAATAACAAAAAATAATCAGAAGATGATGTAGGGGAGGAGTTACGCTCTCAGTTACACCAGAAGAAACTATAGACCCTGGATTGAAAGAGCAGGCATACAAATACAGAATAAACACATTTACTGATTAAAATGTAACTGCAAGCTACAACTGAATAAGTTAAGAAAGAACGAACACTAATCAGGTGTAAATACTGTTACAATGTCCTCACGATGCAGCATTGTTGAGGTGGTTTCAGGGTACTGGGATCCCAGAGTTGTGTACACGACTTGCGGTCGACGTTACATGCCCCACACTACACCTACTGCACACCTGTTAGGGGCCGTCCATAAATGACGTCACGCGATTTTAGACGATTTTTGACCCCCCCCCCCCCTCGTCACACGGCGTCACAAAAAGTCAGACCCCCCTCATAATGACGTCACAAAGCTCTGCCCCCCCCCCCCAAAAAAAAAACTTGCTTCAAATCGATTTAAACTATTGTCATTGTAGTGCGTACTTAATGTGACGCTGCACTCCACTCTGATGTTGTAGGAGAAAACACTTATTAAAAAGTCTATTTAATTAAGTGGAACGCGTTGACTATATTTATTGAAAGTTGCGCATTTTGACGTCACGTCACATTTCTTAACCCCCCTCCACCCTCGTCACACATCGTCACAAATGTCTGACTCCCCTCCCCCCCCCCCCCAGGTGCGTGACGTCATTTATGGACGACCCCTTAACCCCTTATCAGTGCCCTACCTTATTACAGACCAATTCAGACCTTATTGGTCACCCCGTACCCTTATAAATCTCAACGTTCATCTCACAAAGTCCCATCACAAGGGAGAAACACAAACAAATAGACATTATTTTGGGGGGGCTTTATGCCCGTATTTATAACGGCTGTACGCCGCCGTATGGACCTGAAAAATCAATTTCCCTGTACAAGAATAAGGGACAAAACGTATGGGTTGACGGCTGTGTCTACATAGTCGTTAAACGCGACAACTGTCAATAAAAAACAACGTTGTATCCCGGGCACAGCGGGCATGCACAGACACAGGCTGTGTGGTACACTTGAATTAACGTGACCTGGGTTGGAGTGTTGGAGGTGACAGGATTAACCGATTGTGACCCCCTCCGAGATAACCACAGGAGCCACATTTAACACTTCACCTAATCGCGTTCATCGGCAACCATGCACGCGTTTATCACCCCTGCCAATCCCAGCTTTGTTTATACTGCATGTTCCCTTACAGATGAGGGAGGGAAATTGCAGTTCACGAAATCGTCAAAAAAACCGTCTTAATTGTGCCACCGGCGGTCCATGCCCATGCCCCCGAGGGCAAGGTGGCAAGCGGTGCGAATTTAATTGAACTGGAAATTATTATTTATTTATCTATTTTTCACTCCTTACAAAAGCATTTATAGTCTTGGTTATTTCGGTAAAGTCACGTAGAAGGGAAATAATAAAGATTCGGTAAAGTCACGTAGAAGGGAAAGAATAAAGATTGTATTATTTTATTATTTCCCTTCTACGTGACTTTACCCAAAGAACCAAGAATATGAATCCCTGCAGTCGCGAAAGCTTTAAATCGAAATTTCAAAGCATTTATGTTACTCAAGAATGGTAGTTTGTGTGCCCCCGAGCTTATGTGCGTATGTGCATGTGCTCAGAAAAGTAATTTGGTAAATGGCTGGCTAGAATACAGGATTTTAAGGAATAGATGCGTCAAAAAAATACGGCGTGCAAAAAATGCCTACTTTTCCTCCACTCTCCTGGAATCACATGGAAATGCCAGGATTTTTTGGAAACCAATCAAATGTATCGAAAAGGCATCCACAACAGACAATCTGCCCGTTGAGCTTAACCGAAATGGGGAATATTTTTCAGATCCCCAAAAATAGTTGACAATTTTAACCTTCATTTTTCTGAAGCTGGTAATCTTTTTGATAATGTATTGGGAGTTACCCCTGCTCATGCAAATTCCTACACCCCTGTCCAAACATTAAACGAATTTAGTTTCCAGCCAATCTACGAAAGTAATGTTCTGAAACAACTGTCCTACCTCAAAGGGTCCTCCTCTACCGGAGCAGATAGTTTTCCCGTCTTTGCTCTACTAACTGTTGGTCACCTAATATACAAACCTATAGCCCATATTTTCAACCTGTCCATCAAAAAAGCATCAGTTCCTCTAGAATGGAAACATTCCTATGTCCGTCCACTTCACAAAGGGGGCCCTAAAGATGATCCCAATAACTACCGACCTATCTCAATTTTGTCCCCATTGATGAAAATTTGTGAAAATTATTGAACTACCAAATTAGCAGTTTCCTGTCCACCAACAATCTACTACATCTAAAACAATCTGGGTTCCGAAAAAAATACAGCACCACATCTGCTGCATTAGACTCTCTGAATCAAATTTACAGTAGCCTTGATAATAAGCAGTACTGTGCCTGTCTTTTTCTTGACCTGTCCAAAGATTTTGATACTGTAGACCACAACACCCTGCTTAGTAAACCAAGTTGCCTCGGTTTTTCCGAAAACACAGTACAATGGTTAAAAATGTACCTCTTTTCTCGCACCCAAACTGTATTCACAGATGGTTGGAGGTCAAACAGTGTTAAGATAACAAAAGGGGTTCCACAGGGTTCTATCCTCGTCCCCCTCTTGTTCTCTCTTTATGTCAATGGCTTGGGCACTGACCTGGATCATTCCAGGATAAATCTTTTTGCAGATGACACGATACTGATTACTGCTGGCCGCTCTCCGGATGACGTGATTGCTAAGCTCCAGGGTGATATCAACAAACTACAACATCAGCTAGTTGCTCTTAAACTAGTCCTGAATACCTCCAAAACCAAGGTGCTATGCTTCTCACCGGGACTAAAGCAGGAAGTTATTTTTCCCCAATTACATTCCTTAAAT